GGGAACGGATTGCGAAGAGCACGGATCCGAAGTGCTTGACGATGGACCTGGAGGCATTAGCGCACTACCCGCTTTTGCTGCTTTTACTAGCGCTTGATATTCTTCCATTGACATCGTTACATGTGGCTCCGGACCTTGAAGATGCTAATCTTTAAATAAATTTATCACATTTCCCGAACTAAATAAATTTATCACACTTATAGATGGATGTCGAAAAGAGTGTATTTGCCGCAGATTTTAAAAGATGGCTTCGACTTCAACCAACGCTAAATATCAATTCCCGTAAATTTAAATACACACACTTGGGATCAGCGTGCATGAATCCAGTAGAATGTTGCCGATCTGGGAAAAATAGTTTCTAAATCAGTGCTAGTCAACCGCTTTCCTTCTGCGTTTTTATGCAAGTGAGGAAGCATTGTGGTAAAACATTTTTGTCCGTAAAAAGTACGGATCAGATTACGAATTATATTATTTCATGAGTAATGAACTCGCATACGGATACGGAACAATGTTGCAAAAAGAAGAAGGTGCTAACAGCAAGGAAACGAAGCTGCCGGCCAAACTACCTTCGCCTCGTCCAGTTGCCCTTCGATTCCATGTGATATGCAAATGCCCCATCCCCTGACTCGAGTTTCCGGTCCGTGATATGCAACGATGTGATTAGAAATGAAATGTTGATTGTTTCTGCGAGTCAGTTATTGTGCGGCCGCAGCTTGGTGATGCCTTCTCCTCTTCCGCCTCTTGTGTATTGCACGGTGACGGTTTGGAGCTGCTGCCGATTCGCCAGCGGTTGTTGGTTGGTATTGGTCGCTATTGGTGTGTTTCTGTTTTCTTTTTAATAAAGCTTTATTTATTAATTTGAGTGAGTGCCTCCACCACCCCTCCCCTTCCCCTCAGCCGCACCCCAACCCGTCCGCCCTCCGATCGTTATATTAGAATCCAAGTTGGCGCAAGCCATGAATTCGAAAGTACCTTGCATGAGGTGGCCCATACCTCGATTTAACTCCGTCCATAATGTATGATTTTGACCTGTTCAACAAATCTTATCTTTGATGAACTGTAGAAGTAGAGCCTTCGACAGCAGTAATAAAGGTTTCGTGGAGTTTCGCTGATAATGAATTCACCTTTTGGTGGAAAAGTTTCGACCGCTCGTGCCAGCGATGAGAGCGCTGTATTTGGGGGTAGCAAAGCGGAACCACAACCGTTTCGACGTAAATTAGCATATGCAGCGCCAGCAGCTACAACAGCTTGCTGCCGCTGAAGGCGCATTAAATTTGATTCATACTGAAACTAAAACACAGTTAGACAATCTACAA